GGGGGGGCTCTTCCTCTGTTGTCTTGCACTTAGGCATTAGGCATATAATCTTTGAATGAGTACTTTTTTCTCACATAAAAACTTTATAGCCATGTGCATTGAGGAGAATATTTTGCTTTGTATCCATCCTTCATGTTATAAGGCATTGTTTTCCAAGCCTTCTTTGTTCCTCTAAAACCTTTTAGATCACGTGCTACCAGATAGTACAAGGAAATGAACACATGGATAACCAAAATACTCTGTGAATATGTAAGAATTAGCATCAACTTTATCCTATAAGGGGGTTAGATTTGTGATTTTGAACTAAAAATGTGGCTGGTGATTGTATTACTGTAAAATCTTTCTCTATCAGTATCATGTACCTTTGATCCAACCCAATATCTTTATCCTCATCTAAAGTCTAAAACTTCGTTTTCAAGTTTAGCAAAAAAAAATCAAAAAAGAAGCAGCTTTCATTTTCATGTCAATAGAAAGGGAGAACTGACAATATAGTGCTTAGGATTAATCATACATTTCTATTGTTTTGTTACACTACTAGAAATAAGCTTCTGAAAAGAAACCCTTGCCATCCTTGTGCATTATGACATGAGCAGTTGAATTAGGCATAATCATGGACTGGGCCGGACTAGATAGAGATTTTATAGGGTTATAACAACGTTTTGAGCTGCCCTGGGCCTGATAATACATGCCCAGGCCTGGTTGTATGTGGGCTGGGTTGAGCTACTAAAAAGATCACTATTGCTGGTCCTAGCTATCCGGGTTAGGGGTGTTCACAGGTCGGACTGGGTCGGTTTGAGTTATTTTCTTCAACTGATCCAACCTAATTGGTTATTGATAAACCGAAAGCAACCGACCCAAACATGAAGGTAATTTGGCAAATGGTGTAGAGGGAGAGTGTTATGGACGCCTTCCTCGGGAAGACGTACCATCGCCGCCGGTAGCAACAGGCCCCGGGCCCACCGTCAGCAGCAGCAAGGATTCAGTGATGCTCATCCTACCCAGTTCGGCAACA